AGGGAGAGAAATAAAATTCTAGATTTTGTTTATATGCTGAAAAAACAAGCCTACTTTGATTCTTATTTCATACTACATATAAAAATTAAGTGAAAGTGATTGTAATCCTCAGTGTAAGGGTTTAAAACACCTATAAGAAACTATAGATCTTACCATCAGTCAAAGATTTCTTAAATGGGATTCAAGTACAAATTATGAGATTAATTGAACTTTATCAAAATAAGGCAAACTATAGAACAGGAGGAAATATTTATAAAACATAACATTTGTCAGAGAACTTTTATTTATAATAATAAAGAATTCTTACAGCTTAGTGATTAGGAAAACATTCCACTTTCCAAAAATTTCAACAAACACTTCACCAAAGAAAAATGTGAATAACAAATATGTATATGAAAAGATATTTAACACATTTAAGCATTAAGAAAATGCAAATTTAAGTTGCAACAAGACACCACTGCGTGCTAACTATGCTGGCTAAAATTAAAAAACTCATCAATTCAAGTATTTGCCAGTATACGAAGCAACTGAAACTCTTTACACTGGTGGAAATGTAAAGTGGTACAGCCTCATAAGAAAACAACAACTTGGCAGTTTGCCGAAAAGTTAAATATTTACCTGCCATACACCCCAGATATTAACCTCTGAGAAATTAAAGCATATGCCCACACAAACTTGTACATTTATTTTCATTATAGCATTATGTGTAATTGCCAAAAATTAGAAATAACAGGTAAATGAATAAATACACTGTTATATACTTATATAGTAAGATAGTATTACACTGCAATAATCTAAACTTATCAAATTCAAATGAAACTTATAATGATGCTGAATGAAGAAAAGCCAGGCCAAAAAAAAAAATGTATGATTCCATTTTATAGATTTCTAGAAAATGAAGACTTGCAGTGATTGGAAGGAGGGAGTAATGGATTACAGACATAGGAGAAGTTCTAAGGATGATGTCAGTTTTCCCTCTCTTGAGTATGGTGGCTCTTTCAAGGCACATATATATCAAAACTTTGTTAAATGTTTGTTTTATATATGTTCAATTTATTGTGTCTGTCAACAAAACTGGAGTGTTGGAAAAATTTGTAGAAACTGCAAAGGACCTCCCCATTGAATGCTGGCAGTGAGAAAGTAGAGTCAAAGCTGATTTCCTGTTTTCTGGTTGTACAGTGAATGGGAGGTGATGACTTTCACCGTAAATCATGTATGTCATAGAGTAGCAATTTTGAATTGTTGTATTGATGGGGGAAGAGCCACACAAGTTCATGGAGAGATGTTTACCAGCCGAAGGCCAGTAATGAGAAAGGTAGGGTATGATAGTGACAAGATAGCTGAAGAGCCTAGATACAGTCTGACAAGACAACAAGATATAGCAGGTCAGAGTAAGAAACAAACAATAGAGAGCTAAGAAGAAATTCAGGTAAGGGCAATGTCCAAGAAACTCAAGGACATTGTTCTTACCTGAATATTGTCCTTGTGAGAATGATCGATATTACTAAGGAAAACCAGAGCAAAATAAGGACTGAAAAGTATCCATTCAGTTTAGTAACAAACCATTGGAGATCTTGGCAAGAAAAATTTGCATGATGTGGTTAAATGATAGATTTCAGAAGGTTTGGGTGCAGATAGGTTGGCTCTTTTCCAATTAGGCTTGGAATGGAGGGGTGTGGGGGGGTTCAAAGAGAGTTAAAAGTTTGGAGTATGTATGAAATGTATATGAGTGTGTTTTCTGATATGCTTAGAGAGAGGCATCAAAGAGGGAAAGTTTGAAGAGGGATTATTCTGTGAAATCCAAAACTCATGTTTAATCCCTATCATGATGGTATTTAGAGTTAGGTAGGACCTGTAGGAAGTACTTTAGGTTATGAAGGTGGAGCCCCCATAATAAGACTAAATATCCTAACAAGAAAATAAGAGGAAGAGAGCCACTACTGCTCTCCTTCCCCCAACTTAACTGATGTGAAGATACTTAAGATAGCTTTAGTAGTTAAATCCTCAACAGAACTTGATCTTAGACTTAGCACCTTGATCTTAGACCTTTCTCAGCTAAAGAACTGTGAGAAATAAGTATTTGTAGTTTGTTCTGGTAGCCTAACCTAAGACAGATTAAAAGAAGGGAAAGAAAATAGTTAACAGAACAAGGCTTCTTGAGAAGCAGATTAGGGTTAACCTCTGCAGTCAGACTGCAAACTAGTCTTTGCAAAGAAGAGAAAACAAAGGTGGATATGTGGGTCAGGACCTGATGACCATTTTGTGAAATAATGAGCTTGAATTCAGTGAGCATTAAGAAGTTATTAAAGATGTTTTAATTTTAAATAAAATTACCCCCAAATTTGCCATGTCAGTGTAAATACAGGTTTCTGTTTTTCCTTTTTATCAGACTTTATTTACCTTAAGGAAGCAAACAAACAGAAAGATGAACCTGACTCATAGACTAGTGGAGCAAGGCAAAGGCTATGGATAATAGGCATGATATGCAGAATGGAGGGATGGCAATCATTTCAAAGACACAGGAAGAGAAATCTACAGGATTCAGGGATGTGGGGGAGAGAGTCAGAAAACAGCTGGTTTATAATTTGACATGATAAATTAGACGCAATATACTTTGTAAATTGATGCAAGTAATCAGTGCTCATCTGACCCTAACTCACTCTATACCTTTGTTGAAAACCAGTATTGCTTTGTGACTTTCACAACCCAATCCCAGCCTGCTTCTGAAGAAATCTGTATCTTTTTTCCCTTCTTCAAACCATTTTCAGATTCTCTGTCATGGCTATAATTATTGTAGCCAGGTACTCAGGAAATTATTTTAAGTAATTTTATTGCAAATCAGAATCACCTGAACTCAGTGATAACCTTTAAGAGGAGGAAGTGGGGTGTATTCAGTCAGGGGTTCACAGACTTCAGTTCTAATGGTATTTATGTTTGCATTATTCAAAACAGTGAAAGCCAAGATTTCACTTCTGATAATGGCTAAGTGTCTTTATATTCCTTTACCTATAAATTGCAGTTATTACACCAACGGCTAATTAGAACAGAGTTAGGAAGACTTTCAAAGTTTTATCTTCACTGTAGCATTTTAAGTAATATCCACTTAAGGGTTATAAAATGATTCCATCTTATAAGTATATTAATGTTCAATAGCATTTCATTTTCAGTAACTAAAATTTCATAATAAAACTGAAAATGCTGAGAAAGGAGTCACCACGGTCCTGTCACTACCAATATGTTACTTTAGTCATTTCTAGAAATACTAAGTGTTGATAAGTCATTTGAGGCAATTGCTTAAAAATGACATCAAGGGAATGAAGAAAATGTGGGCAGTCTCTTTACTATTCAGTCTGCTCAGAATTTTAGTTTCTTCCTGATTCAGTCTTGGTGTGGAGTGTTTCTAGTTTATTCACTTCTAGTTTGTCAAAGATGTTGGTGCATAATTTTTCCTAGTATTTTTGTGTTTCTCTGTATTTCTGTACCTAACAGCTTTTTTACATCCTCTGCTTTTATAAAGAGAAGCAAACAAATAACCATGAAGTTGACCAAATCTAAAAGTTAAGTTTATCTTGTGTGTTTGAGAGGAAAATGATTCCAAAAATCAAAACTATTCTCTATTCCCAAATCTTTAAATAAATTTGACCCTCACAGGATGTGGACATTTTATATTGTGAATCTTAATTCTCCCTCACCACACCAACATTACCACACATTATTTTGATCTTTTTTTTTAAAA